AATTAATGTATCAACCAATGAAGCAACTAGGGTCTCAGGGTTCATCATCATAGATCATTACTACAACATCAGTATTTTTCGTAGATGTTTAATTTGTTTCTGCGAGCGAAATCTTAAAATAAACTGTAAGTTAACCTTGATAATTCGCTGTGTGTGTGTGTGTGTGTGTGTGTGTGTGTGTGTGTGTGTGTGTGTGTGTGTGTGTGTGTGTGTGTGTGTGTGTGTGTGTGTGTGTGTGTGTGTGTGTGTGTGTGTGTGTGTGTGTGTGTGTGTGTGTGTGTGTGTGTGTGTGTGTGTTCAATCTAACCCCCACTGGCCGGTAGTGTTATTATGGAAGAACTCTCTCTACAATGTCGCATTTATGGTCATTGTAGACACCTTTAGTCCGGGAGTTAGAAGGTGATGGCTCTATTGCAGATCCAGCAACCCATCTCAGAATGTCTGGAGAGTCACGCCCATTCCGAGGTTACTTTCACTCACAATAAGCCCCGCATGTATGCATCACCGCTATCAAATGGATATTGGTTATATATACACACTTCCAGGTTCGAAAATATTTTTTTCAAACCTGGCATGTAGGGGAATTTACGTATTCTTGGCAACCTAAGCAGCGACCTTCTTTCTATAGCCTTTTTCTCTAAGGAACGCACACATATGCAGTATTGGTTTGTTTACAATCTCTTGCTGCCAGCTGCTCTTACAATTTCAGTCGAAAGAATGGTCAAAAACTGTTTTGAAACGCTTTTACAAAGCTCCAATCTTCTCTAGTGAGAGCGAGTATTGTCGGCAACCAGTTTTTCTTCGGCAACCGTTCCATTTGAACTGCATGTAAATCTGCTGTTCTATTATCGGCAACTCGAAATCAGCTACAATTTGTAGTGCGTGTGTTTCATTTCAAGAAAACCTTGCTAGATTACTTTTTCTCAGTGGTAAAAATATGGTCAAATTGAAGCTGAAAGCATACAGAATCGTTTGCATGCATTCAGCGAAGTGTTTTCGTAAGAAAATCCAGTGAAAATAGTGTTTCAATTTGGGTTGCCGAAAATAGTCTGGCATGCCGAAGCCGTCATTTCCCCTATTTAGTTAAATTTTGATATTTAATTTTTTTTTATTATTGGAAAGCTCTCACCATATTCTGCTCTTCCACCGCCGTTAATTGCTTCTTTTGGAATCCCTTGGAGTTTTTCTCTAACGCTTCGTATTTCATTCCGTGCTTCACCGGCAATTCCTTCCGTAGATCGTCCTTGGATGGTTCTAACATGATTCCGCGTTTTTCGGGTTTTTCTTGTTTTCTTAGGAAGATAAATCCGCACTGATTTCCGTTCCTGGTTCGATGTTGACTTCTTCCTCGTTGGTTGGTGTGGTCGGTTTCATGTCCACTATATTCATTATATGTCCACTATCTTGCCATGGTGATCTGGGACGAGGCTCACGTCCAAAGTCGCTGGTCCACCGAGTGCTCGTGTGCGAAAAGAGAATGAAAGAAATACGAAAGGGATCAGTTTCAAGAAGTGACAGTTTCATCAGATTCCCCAACTAACCATAGTCAAGCAAAGTAAGAATATACAAGCTATATTGCGACTATATGGTTACTTGGGTACTCATATGGCCGTCAGAATGGTTCATCGGTTTCGAAGAAGTATTTCTGAAAGTGATGCGTTATATTTCTGAATGTTTTGATTTTATCCTAACGTTACCTCGATGTTATATCACAGACATACATACACAACACATTGAACGCCATCTGTCGTATACACTATGATGGGTAATACACTCAACAGATGGCTGTAGTGTGCAAACGTCAAATGCTAGGGAATTGATTATGTGCACTACCAACAATCGGCGGTACTACCAACAATCAATACGAAACTAACGATTTTAAATTGGCTCACTACTTGACTAGCCTATTGGTCCCAAGCAAACGATTAACGTACCCCATTCTAGTCGAAATTCTACTACTACACAATGTTTGGTTTGATTCGCTATGAAAGTTTGACAGATACAATGAGGGGTTAGTGGATTTTCCTATGTTTCGAGGGGTGAAGCGATTAGATTGGGACCGAAGATAGTACCAGAGCTGAGCCAAAAAGTTGAGCACGTTTCTTCGGGACCTTCTAGTCTTAGAGTTACCTCTATGGTACTACCAACTAAGAAACATTTAAATTGACAGTTAAAAGCGATTTCGATGAACGTTTTAAGAGTGTTGTGTCTGCTTTTCTGTGATCATACCTTCACTATCGCAACTTCGGGTAATGTGCGAAAGTACTTGCATTTTTCTCAGGCACTTTTGATCCAACTACAATTACTCTCTCATACCCGAAATGTGCCACGATCAAATTGGCAAAACGACGCCCTATACGCTCTCTGACCGAAGCGCAGGCAATGCAATTAACCTCAGAAATGTCTGAAATGTCTGCTCTTAATGCTCTAGGACCCTGAATTCGTATTCTCTTTAGAGTTCCCATAGTATTTCCTCAGAATTCTCAAAACAAAAATCCATCTCAGACTACCCTTGAAACTCTTCTCACAATTCCTTTGAGCACATGTATCCGCAAAATTTTGATTATATTGTAATTCTTCCGGATTCTCTTGGAATTAGACTCAGAAATCGCCCTAGAATTCCTCTACAACTAACTATCCCCGCTGGGTTTGGAGACCTTTGGAGTTTACGGAATTTTCTTGGAATTTATATTAAGGCTATCTTTAAAAAATATATCAGAACTCTAGATAGAGCTAGAATTAGGGCGTAGCAGCCACAAACCAACATATCCATCGGGGTAGGAGAAGTCTTCCTCTACTCGATGGTGATGTCGATTTGCCGGGGAGAGGCATGACTTTCGAGTAAAAAATCGAGAGAAGTCATTGTTTACAAAAGCTGTTACGCCCTAATTCCAGCTCTATCTAAAACTTATTTAAATATTTATTAGAATTTGGACCAAGAATCCTCATCCAATCGAATTCTTCTCAGAACTCTCGATAAAATGCACTTGGAGCTGAATTTTACGTTTTTAATTATTTAATATAATGAGGGAAGCTCGTCAGTTCAGGGTAGATTTGTTCACCCCTCCGCTGAAGCCTGAATACAGTTTTAAGGTTCAAGCAGAGGTGAACAAATCGGCCCTAAGAGCACCTGCATGTAGGGTTTTTGATCTAATTTCCGTCTTACTAAGAACAACCCGTGCTTTACCTCTCTTTTCTGAACGAATTTTAACCAAAAATGGAATATTTCTGTCAAAGATGACTTCTAAATTTATCCACCTTTCCATACGTACCGTTGGATTTGATAAAGAGTCACAAATTGTTGAGATATTGTTCAAAATCTAATACTGCTTCTTGATTCTAAATTCGTTCTACGAGTTTCAATTCCGTCCTAACGCATTGAAACGCCATTAGATTTTCTTCGTCCTACGGATAAACGTAGAAAAAGAGAATTCGCTAGGTGCGCTTCTTTTGTTTTGAGAACAATGAGCGTAAATATTCATACAATGCGCTCTAACAGGGTTTATGTTGTAGCTTATGAACTAACGCATCGGAACAAACCTATTATTGATTTGTGCACGGTGAAATCATTGATATTATTGATCTTTTCTGATCGATAGAACGGAAATGGGCGATTACGACGAAGTAGCGCTCTACCCTACATGTGACTTTCGTAGTGTGTAGTTTGGTATTCTTCTCTGAAATATCTTGGTATCATCCGTAGAATTTCTTTGATATTAACTTCTAAATCCCTTTGGATAATTCATTTAAATTCCTAGATAATTCTTTGAAGACTTCTGAAATTCTAGCACAGACCAATATCCTTGAAAAGTTTCTAAAGGTTCAGAATTTATTTTCGGGAAAAGGAAGTATATTTTCCCCGATTTGTCATCGAAATTTAACGACTTTTCCCAGTTATTTCCTGGTGTTTTAAAATTCCTTGAATTTGTCCGGTCACCCTGGGTATAATTGTTTACTTTTTGACAGATATGCATATTTCGTCACAACTGCTGTAGACTTCCTTAGTCCCAAGCACTCAATTTAAACAATTTGATATTTTTAACACTTTGCCTCCGGTGAAATGTGTAACGGCTAATTGGAAATGTTTGAAAAATCATTACTCAGCAATTTATCGATAGATTTTAAATCTATTGATACCGATTGAATCTTTAAAATATGTAGTTTCAAATGGCTTCAATAGATTTGAAGAGATTTTAATCAACAAATGGCTGAGCTATGATTTTTCAAACATTGCAAGTTTGGCGTTACACGTTTTACCGGCGGCATCGTGTTCCAAAAATGTATTCAATGTCTTTGAACTAGTCTACATCGGTTGACGAAATAAATCTAAATCTGAAAATATTAAACAGATCTGAAAGTCAAGATATAATTATAATAAAATTGGAAGGTTGTTATTCCAAAACTCTCTTCGACTGAAATGGTTAAAAACGGCACCAATTAATGGCATATGCACCCAAAATTGGATTTCCTCTCAAAAGCCCAAATTAATTCATTTTCAATTTGATGTGACCATTTTTACATCAATATTTCAATACACGTTGGATGAACGTTTGCGAAATAGATAATCGGTTTTCACATTACAATGTTTGTCTATCCTTCGCTCGATTATGCAACATGGGTAATTGCATTTAATTATCTTGCAAAATCTACGTCTATGGACACAAAATCCCGGGATGATTTGATCAAACCGCCGCAAACGAAATCTCACAAATCACCTGAGCTTATGGCACCAACTCCGCACAGAGACATACGCCGAGTTCAATGTCATCGCGCCTCACGCGGTGCGCGCACACTCTGTGACTGTGAACTATCCATAATCGCATGAACAGCAAAACAATACAATTATTCACAACAACCAGACCGGAAGCAAACTCACTCATTATATCCACACACCATATTGCGCACGAATGTCACTGGAAAGCAGCTAATTTGCCTGCGTACTCTGATTTTTAACGATTCGCTAATTCATGCCATTTGCCTTTTCGCTTTTCTCCCAACAGAGGAAACTGGTACAATTGAGCCCGGCAGTTCACCGCTGATCGGCGGAAATCGAAATGACACCACCGGTGGAAGCAACCAGGAACTGTCCAGCAGTGGCGGTGCCGCTGGAGGTGGTGGCGGTAGTAGCGGTTCTGGTGGAGCTGCCCATCGCAGCATTGCCACCAGTCCGCTCGGATCAACCACCTCGGAGCACTGGCCATCGCAGTCGGACGAAGACATCGACCGATTGGTGGCACTGCACCAGAACCGAGCATCGCTCAGTTCCCTGGGAGTGCGGTCCGACTCGATGGCGTCGGTGTACTCCGGTGCCGGCGAAGGGCGCTACGGTACTGTTACGGTTCGCGGACAGATCGAATTCGGTATGCAGTACAACTACAAACAGGGTGCGCTGGAAATTCATGTGAAGCAGTGTAAGGACCTGGCGGCGGTCGATGCCAAGAGAAACCGAAGTGATCCATATGTTAAGGTTTGTTGATTGATTGATTGCTGTTGTTGTGATGATGACATTTAAGGGAGTTTTGTTAATTCGCTCTGCAGGTATATCTTCTTCCGGATAAGTCCAAGGGAGGTAAGCGAAAGACCAAAGTAAAGAAGCACACGTTGAATCCGGTCTTCGACGAAGTCCTACGGTTCCATATGTCCCTAGCTGGACTGCAGACTAGGACGATTTGGATTACGGTATGGCACTCGGATATGTTCGGACGGAATGATTTCCTCGGTGAGGTGATGATGGGACTGCAGGGTAAGCTGTTTGATAATCCAGCCCCGCAATGGTACCAGCTGCAGGAGAGGGTGAGTAATAGACGAGGTATGATATCAAGAAGGTATTTTATTTTTAAATTGTTCGTCTTCGGATAGAGTGAACCGTTCGACGATCTTTCCGCGTACAAAGGTGACATCATCGTCGGGTTGAAGTATATTCCGCCAGATTCGGAAGGTGGAACGCTGCAGCATCATCATCACAACGGCAGCGGAACGTTGAACATGCGCAAATTCAGCACCAGATCCATTACATCAACTTCATCGAACTCTTCCGGCCCCGGAAGGGGTGCCCTGCACGTACTCGTGAAGGAGGCGAAGAATCTTCAGCCACTTAAGGCTAACGGAACCTGTGATGCATTTTGTAAGAGGTAAGAACAGGAGTGAAAGATGATTGCGACACAGTTAAGGTAGTGGATATTTTGATTTATGGTTGTCGTCGTGTAGTTATCTTCTTCCAGACAAGAACCGCAGCTCGAAGCAGAAAACTCCGGTGGTGAAACGTTCCAATTCACCTGTGTGGAACTATACCTTTATCTACGAGGACGTCTCACTGGCGGAACTGTCCGAACGAGCACTGGAGCTCACGATATGGGATCATGATCGATTGGCGAGCAATGAGTTCCTCGGTGGAGTTCGCTTCTCCTTGGCCACAGGTAAGGATATCCATTTTATGCATGTCAGCGATAGATTAGTTGCATGAGACAAAAATTGGAAAATTTTCAGGCAAACACAATGGTAGATCAGTCGACTGGATGGACTCTACCGGCAAGGAGCTTTCCCTCTGGCAGAACATGATCAACAGACCAAACTTTTGGGTGGAAGGTGCCCTAGTCCTCCGACCCTCGTTAGATAACGCAAGATTCACGTCATAATTTTGCGAACCCCCTGTAGAACAATCCGGGGAAGTCGCGTAGTAGTGGATTTCCCCCAGACCCCCTCCTTAAAAATAATCCTTTTAGTAAAAAGAAGTTAATGAAAATAAAATCATTCCAACTTTGTGATGTTGCTTTACAACAACCTAATCATAGATTGTAATCCAAAATATTGTTAAGAAGAAGTAAACGACGACGCGCGATACTAGCAGAAGAAAGCAGAAGCATTTTCGATTACCTAACCTTATGAACGACAATGATGCTTAATGATGATCGGTGTTCAGATAAGATGAAGAAACTATTGGAAGTATACCTTTTACGATTGAGTAAGTTTTTATAAACTTTTATTTTTTCGACACTATATCGTGAGTAATGTTCGTCTTGAAACAAAGGAAAACCAGAAAACAAACAAAAAAACATAACTCTTTTTGTGTGTAAATAGGCTAGATATACACATTAAAGATCAAAGTATTATTTATCAACAAAAATACAAATCAAGCAAAGAGATTCTTCTTTTCCCTCCATTTACTCTAAAAAAAAATAGATGTGAAACGTAGTCTCTATACATATTTCCAAAAGGAAAATGGCCGAACCCATTCACTTCTATCTCTATGACCGAACTAACAAAAGTTGTGAACTTTTCCGCGAGCATGTAAATATTTACACAAAACACTAAATCAAATCACTATTTTCTAACGCTGTGAATCTTTACTAAATTCATGTTGGAAGCAAAACTCCTTCGAGCTGCGTTCAAGGCAGAGAAAGGATAATTAGGATCTACTTAGAGAGGAGCAAGGACACACACAAAAAAAAACTTCTAAACTTTCCGTTCCGAACGATTACCATTAAAGACGAAAAGGACGAGTTACAAAAACAAAAATACAACACTGTCAGACAGTGAACTTCGTTGCAATATATACACTTTAATGATGAACGCAGAATCATGAAACAGAAAAAAATAGCTGGTTTATTTTACCGAAAGGAAGAAAAAAGATACTTAAGAAACATATTCTATTTACCACAGATAGCGAAAGAATGAAAATGAGATGAACTAAGAGGCAGCAAAAGAAGAAGAAGAAAAAAACGACTGATCGTGAGGGGAATCATAATTGTTAGCAAAAGTTGCCGTTTGACAGTTTTCATTGCGAGCGAAACGATTAACACTTACTGTAGAGTACGATGGACGATGAAGTCGCTGGAGCAGATGACACAACTCTTATGAACAAACAAAAAAAAAACACTTAGTGAAAGCAGAAAGTATCATATATTAACATTGCATTCAAACGTTTCTTTTTTTTTCCAGTAGGGAATTTGACCTTTTTCGATGAGTAATTGACAGATACATAATAAACAAATTTGATGAGGATTAAAACAGACAAAACCCAGCGTAGTTGTAGCAGTAGAATTGGTAGTTGTTTACGAGCAGAAAAGTTAAACTAAGGAAAAACGTACGTCGAAGCTGCGGTACTAATCCGAGTGGAATTTAAAATATTTCTTTCGTTATCTAAGGCATGCCAAACATCTGAACGCTTTGGTTCCACGCGATGGATTGTATTGCAGCTGGGACTAACAAAATTGTGAACAAAATAGTAGCGAACACATAACCATAACATATTTACGATAGTGAAGTTGTACATAATGTCATTTTTTTGTTTGGTTCCCCCTGATTTAGTTATTTACACCTTAAATGGTCGGTGCTGGTCGGTTTGAGGATCCATTTTTCCTCCCACGTTGAAGGTTGAAAAACCGACACTTAGATCTCGAGTTACGTTTCCCAGAAGCCTTTCCCTTCAGCTCTTTTGATGTTTGTATCCATTTAAAATAAGCTGTTTGTCTGAGATTAAAAGACACATCTATATACTGTGAACTGTTTCTTCATATTTACAATTTGTTGAGTATTACTAATCTACTTAAAACTCACTTTAGTGATAAACAACAAAAGAAAACCACACTAGGGCCAAATTTAAGCTCACTTACTGATATGAAAAAAAAAAAACAAAACAAAAACAAGTTCTTCTCTAAGCTACGACACGGATGCTCAATTATATCATTTATAGTTAATGAAAATTATAACTGAATGAATGCATGCAATTCTAATCTCTAAGCAAGACAAAAACCATTTCATACTAACTTCTTCTAAAAACTCTGTGCAACCACAAATGAATAAAAACGACAAGCGAAAACAAAATCATTGTAATTCTTATGCTAGCTAGAATGCGAAAGACGAGCATGTTGTGTGCGAGCCAAACTCATCACTCCATACCGAGAGACAGAGAGAGAGAAAGTGAAAGAGAGAGAGAGAGAAAACCTAAAATTAAGCAAATTAGCAAGAACACTACTCATCTCGACCAACCGACACGAAATCGATGCAAACAATAAACATTTCAAACGACACACCGACGAGATTGGAAAGCAAACATCCAGAACACAGAATCATAACAATTGTCGAATGAATACAACTGGTGTAAAACAATAAACTTATTTATCAAAAATCACGCTTTTTCTTTCCTATGCACAGAATCAGGTTGGCTCTTCCGGATTGAAAGATAAAACTCAAGAGACGGAACTGATCCTGTACATAAGCATGTGAAACCTTCTTTTCTGATTCGCAGCTTTTCTCTTTCGTTCGTTTCGCCTCATGATTTCCAGGAATTACCTACGTCAGAACAAAACAAAAATTATCGCATATTTGTAGTATACACACAGCATAGAGCATTGATAATTTACACTAATCAAAAGTAGTGCGTTTCGAGTTGCTTCATTAAAAAAAAACATTTAAAAAATTAAACAGATATATATATGAATAAAATTTTGTGAGTACGTACAATACCAATACACAAGTAGTAGTTGCAGTTATCGCGCATAGAGCAAGTTTTAAATTTTTGCCAGTCCTAAACAAAACAGGAGAAACAAAGTTTGCAGCCGAAATTGAATTGTCACTAAACTCCGGTTCGATGCTCAATTTGTAAGCAAGTTCACCCATCACGTACACATCCACACATAAGACAGATTGGGGCATGAACCGCAACAGCAGCGAGCAAAGTTTGCCGCGCGTCGTGAAGGAAAAAAGAAAGCACTATTATACAAGATACAGCAAACAAAACATAACATTGCTTGTACTCAAGGTTGGAAACGGTGAAATGAGAAATGAATTGGACAATTATACAACATATATATTGAATTTGCAATATACATCAAGATGAACGAAACGAGAGCACTTTGTGTTTAGTCACTTTCACTATTACTCACACATCCGTTCCTCACATTCCGTTCATTAGACGTGGCGACTCACTTGCACCCCAGCTTCCTCTAAACAGTTCCCACCCATCCGCGTTATTCTCGGGCCAAGCTTCTTTTCACTTCTAGGCACTATTGCATGACTGTCTGTCCGTATACCGGCTCATTTCGTTATACATTTAATCCTGAGATTAGTCAGGGATTTTGCAGCACTGAAGCCAGCTTTATGGTGAGCATACATTTTGATTGTGCACACTTGAAAAATAACGGTTATTTCCTTTTCCCAAATATTCATCTCGATTTATTGGCTTTAAATGATATACAATGATCTCTGTAATCAAAACATGTGCATTTTCAAAGGTTTTTTTTTTCGGTAAAAAATCTCCATGTCGGTGATACTTTTGATTCGAAATTAATTCAGTACAAACAAAGAAAGGGAAAAAAATCTTCTGCAATAAATTCGCTTGACTTTCTGTATCATCAAATCAGCTATTATCCACATCCATCTTCTTCAATCAATTTTACGTCCACTGAGCTTGTTGCTTAGTCATGTTGTGCATCTAGAACGAGCATCTACAGCTTTTTGACGTAGGACTACGTCTTTGATTTTTATACGGGGGTACACTTTGTGAAAATCGAAAATGGAACATGTAACGAAATTATGAAAGATTTTGAACTTAAATAACTCAGCTGCCCCTGAAATATTTCCCGATTTTTAACAAGAAACTATTGAAAAAGTGGTAAATGTCAAGCATTGTCCAAAAGTGTCGAAATAACTAACAAATCCACCAATTACGTACATGCATATGCTACTTCCCCAACACAGTCATCAGATAATTGTTTCTAGACGGAACATGTCGATGTAGCATTACTGCTTCCCCAACACTGTTATCAGAGAGTCATTAGTAAACGAAACAAGTCGAAGTGGCATTCTCCTCCGATCTTCGGGCATGTGTGAATAGGGAGGATGCAATTGCGTAACATTTTGAACACTCATCGCCATCAGCGTTGCCAGATTGTTTTCATGATTATCGGTATCAAATGATTAAAAAATCGGTATTTATCGGTATTCAATATTTTTTTTATTTTTTATTTTTTTCAAACTTTTGGACTAAAATCGAAAGATGTACTTTCCATGTAAATCGGAAGAAATTTCTGGGAAATATTTGAATAAGTCTTTTAATGGTACCGACTATTCTTCCAGAGGAAGAATAAAGAAGATCTTGTGGAGGAAGTTTGAAGAAAGTTCTAAAAAATGTCTAAAAAAACATCCGATGGGGATCTTGCAAGATAAATATTGAGAACCTTCTGGGAAAAATATTTTAGAAACTTTCAGAAAAAAATCCAAGTCCGAAAAGTTTGGAAATTGGAAGCCAATCCCGGAGGACCCATTTCCTGGGGAAGTTAGGACAAGCTTGCAACAAGTCGGAAAAAAAACCTACGGATAGTGACTTATGGAGAAACTTTCACATGAAGACGAAAGAAACTTCGGGGAGAACTCGATAGATGCATCCGGTAGAACTTTAATTGAATTTCTTGGAGAAGACGGAAGAAACTTCCAGGAGACACTGGGAGAAACTTCGGTAAGTAGATAGGAAGAAACTTCTGGGAAAAGTTGGACGCCAGAGAGCTTACCGAACAGTCGAAAGATACTTCAAGGAGATGATGGTAAAATATCTGGAAGATTTAGATTTCTTGGGGATTATAGCACAATATTCTCTGAAGCTACTCACATGCTCTTTTGATCCAGCAATTTTCCTGATATTCATAAAACATCCATGAAAATCCCACAATGTTCCTGAAGTTTTCGGAACATTCCTGAATTGCACTTCGGAATATCCCATAATTATTCGGAACTTCTTGAAAGTTCTTGCAATTTTCCTAAAGTTAATGTGGATGTTTTGAGGTTCTTTGATCATCCTTGAAGTACTCGGATCTTCCCTGATTATTATGGAGCTACTGGAAAATCTCTTATCTTCATTAAAAGTACCTGGAACTTCTTTAGCGCATTCATTTTTTTTTAAATTAATGAAGATCAGCTTTCTGATTTTCCCGATTTTTTATTTTTTTTAAAGTTCTATAAACTGCCGATAAAAAACACAGAACTTCCTTAAAAATGTTCTCACAATTTTCTAATGTTCATGTAACTTTCCTTACGTTTCCAAAATTTTCATGAACCTCTCGGAACTTAACTGAAGTTTTCGGAAATTCCCTGAGTTTCTCGAAACTCATTTAAAGATACAGAAATTTCTTTGAATTTAAATGTCCTGATGTTTTCAGAGCTTCCCTAAAGTTATCTCAATTCTCCTGAAACAAATGGAACTATCCGAAAAAAAAAACATTAAATTTCTTTGAAGCAGTGTTGGAAAAGTTCGCGATATTTCACGAAGTTCACCAAGGGAAAAGATCGCGTCCATAGAGAGTTTTTGTGAACTTTTCCATCACTGCTTTGAAGTTCTTTGGGCTTGTGAAGATTCTAAAATATTTCAGTTTCCTTAAGTTCATTGGAGTTCTCTGGGATTTCCTGAGGTTCCCGGGTTCTCGGATTTGAACACAAGTTTATGAAACTGTCTTTAATTTATCGTAACCTACGCAAAAGTCCGAACTATTCTGAAGTTTCAGAACTTCTGAAAAGTTCCTGAAGTTTTCTTGAAACTAATGGAACCGCAATAAAACTCTGGCAACACTACTGAAGTTCCGGGAAACTGACGGGAGGAGACGGAATAACCTTTCGAGCGAAGCCAGAAGAAGCTTCCAAGGGAATTCGAATAGCTTTCCGGAAGGAATCGGAAAATAGCTTACAGGGTAAGGTAGACGGAAATTCCTAGGGAAATTGGAAGAAACTTCAAAGGAAGATGGAAGAAATTTCAGGAACTTCAAAAAATAACGCTTTTATGGACCTATTTTTCCACTGAATAGAAGTATTTCCCGATTTCCAGAAATTACTGGGGTGACCCATTAGCTGTTTTCGACTCCTTGGTAACCAAAAATGGCGAGGAAATGGAAGCATTAGTCGAAAGAGTATCAATCATAAGACATTTTTGAAGATGATTTTTTTTTTAGAGCAGGCTCAAAAAGATAAAAGTCTCTCACAATAGTTTCCTCTGACAATTCGTAATATAATAAAAAAAAATCGGCATAAATCGGTATTAAAACTCACAAATCGGTATTTTGAGAAACCTTATCTGTATATCGGTATCAAGTTTAAAAATCAGTATAAAGGTATATCTGGCAACGCTGATCGCCATATTCAGAACCACACGCCCCCCAACGACCACACAAAATGCTCTCCAGAGTTGTAATCTTGTAACCAAACTTGGAAGCAGGGGTGCAAGTGATTTTGATCGATTCTCTTCGTGGACTTTCTGTTAACAACTCGACGGCAAACACATTCATCAATACGTTTGTTGTTCTGGATGATAGAAGAGCATAGCGGAAATAGTGCGAAATAGGTTAGTGAAGCCATGGTCATCAAAAGAGGAAATCGATGAAGAGAGTTGACTTTCACCACTCTGCTTCTAAGCCCCTTAATCCAGTCGTCATCATTGCAATGAAAACTAGCATCGCACCGCATTTGGTTCTTGGGTTACACTTACTGATTGCAATTCTGCTGTTCGACATTTTCGAAGGACCACCAAAAACATGTAATTCTCGATGAACATTTCAAATGGTCCTATCTGCTTTGATCGATTCTCTTCATCGACTTTCTCTTTTCATAACCACTGCTATGCAAACAGATTTCGCGCTAATTCTACCACATAGTTTGATAAAGGAGGTTCTTATCTAGCGTCCAAAACGTCAAATATAACAGGGAAAGGTTTTGCAGCTGAGTTATTGATGAAAGAGAAAGTCAATGAAGAGAATCGATCAATGCAGATAGGACCTTTTGAAATGTTTATCTAGAATTGGACTATTTTCTAGGGATGCCTAAAAGTTCAATTATTTGATTAACGATTAATCGCAAAAAAAATCCAGCTATTTGATTAAATATTTATCGAATTTTCAATTATTCGACCGCGTAACCTACATCTCT